GTGTGTATCTCCTTGGCCCAGTACAAGTTTGTAGGGAGACTGGGCAAGCACGCATCACTAGGCAGGTCATCGCATCAACATTGACTGAGACATTTTCAGGGCTACTTGTGACTAACAACTTGGCAGCCTTAACCCATGACTATGGTTTAGATAACTAGAGAGACTACAAACCCTAAAGCTCCCCCTCGCGGAATGCTGGTTGAACGTAATCGAGATAAAAAAAAATAGAAGAGATGTAAACCAGATCGACCATTTCATGGTAAACAGAAAATGGCCTGGGTCCCTACTCAATGTGCGTGTCAAAAGGGGAGCAGACGTAGGAAGCGATCATCACCTTGTAGTTGCTCTACTACGACTTAAACTTAAAAAAAAGTTCACACGCAAGTTAAAACACAGACAGCACGCCAAAATGTTAACCTTTTAGGAGAAAAAGACATTGCCACTAAATTTATAGTAGAACTCAAAAATAGATTTCAAACCCTATCAAGTGACCCAGACAGTCAAACTGCAATCAGTATTCAAGACAGATTGAACCAGATCAAAGAAACATACAATTCAACTAGCAACAACATATTAGGAACCAGGAAACAACATCACAAAGAATGGATAAGCAGTCAAACTATGGACTATATTGCCAAGCGTAAAAAGAATAAAGAGTCTCATAAATCACACTAAATCAGAACGTCAGAAAGACAAACTAATGTTCGAATATAGCGAACTAAATAAAATGACAAAGAAAAGTGCCAGAGCTGACAAAACAATAATTTTGGAAAATCTTGCAGAAACAGCATAAATTGCTGCTAAAGCATATGATCTACAAACCCTACACAAAATTACCCAGCAAATTTGCGGAAACAGAAATAACTATCACAGCATACCCATCAGAGATAACCAAGGCAGACTGCTCACCACAGAACAAAAACAAGACATGCAGAGGACTAAACACTTCTCCGACCTCTTGAACAGACCTGATCCTGAAAATTCCTCAGATATTCAACCAGCCTATCAGGACATTGACATTATTACTGAACCACCAAGCAAACAAGAAATCCTTAAAGCTATCCACACTTTAAAGAGCAACAAAGCACCAGGCAAGGACGAACTGCCAGCAGAACTTCTCAAAGTAGATCCCAACACAACTGCTAGCATTTTAGAACCATTGTTCAAGGATATTTGGGAAAAAGAAGTGTTGCCTGATGACTCGACTGAAGTAACAATAGTCCAAATCCCCAAAAAAGGAGACTTAACAGACTGCAATAATTGAAGAGGAATTACTATACTCTCATTACCAAGCAAAATGTTTTGTAAAATCATTATAATGCGGCTTGAAAAAGGAGTAGATAAATGCCTACGAGTAGAACAAGCAGGATTCAGAAAAAGCAGAGGAACAACTGAACACATCTTCGCCATACGTAACATTTTAAAACAATGCAATGAATAGCAGAGAAGTATATATGTAAATTTTGTGGACTTTGAGAAAGCTTTTGACAGCGTCCATAGAGACAGTCTATGGAAAATTTTACGACATGATGGAATTCCAGAAAAAATATTTATCCATGCTGTCGACATTTTTTGAGAATAAATGCTCCAGAGATTTCGCCACTGACATGCCTTTGATGTCAGTCAATGATGTTTTTAGATGTCTCGCTAATCTTAAAAACAGTAATGCATCAGGTCCAGATGGTGTAAGCGATAGGATCCTTCGTTGTACTGCATCAGTTATCTGCACGTCATTAACCTACATTTACAACCAGTGCATCACCAAGGGTTACTTTCCACCAGCCTTTAAAATTGCCAAAGTCTATCCTCATCTAAAATCTAGATCATTAGACAGTAGTATTCCCAGTAGCTATAGACCTATCTCTCTACTATCATCCCTACCGAAACCACTAGAAAAACACATTCACAAAATAATACTCCAACATTTAGATCACAACGAACTTATTGTTGACAACCAGTCAGGGTTTCGACCAAAACATTCTTGTCATACTGCCTTAACAAATATGATAGAAAACTGGCATCAGAATATTAACGAAGATAAGATATGTGGTGCAGTGTTTATAGACTTTAAGAAGGCCTTTGACATGATAGACCACACTATTCTTACAGAAAGCTGGTAACAATGAAAGTGTGTTCCAACCTATTTACATTACTAAGATCTTTTTTTTTTTTTTATTAAATAGAAAACAAGTTGTTTCACATAATAAATCCACATCTCAGACTATTACTTTAAATACTGGAGTTCCTCAGGGTTCTATTCATGGCCCTCTTCTATTTGCAATTTACATAAATGATCTGTCCTTAAATCTGTCGTCGTCATGCGATTTATTCGCTGATGACTGTACCATCTATTCAAATGCTCGAACGTGTAATATACTAGAGTTGTCTTTACAACTAGAATTAAACAATGTAGTTAGTTGGAGCTACGCAAACCTGCATGCAAATCAACATAAGTAAGACAAAACTATGTTAATAACAACAAGACAAAATCTGTGCACTTTGAACTCTCATAGAACCCTTCAACTCTACCTAGGTAACACATCAGTAGAAAGTGTAACTGAGCACAAAACTTTAGGCCTGATCAACGATGGAAATCTTACCTTCAACCTCCATTTGCAAACACTTGTTAAGCAAACTGCTACAAAGGTATACCAACTAGCAAAAATTAAAAACTTTCTGGATGAGAAAACTAGGAAATTATTCTATACTTCTCATATTCAGACCCACATAGACTATTGCTCCACAATATGGGATGGATGTGCAAATTCAGTCATCAAACGACTGAAAGCACTACGCAGAAGGGCTGTTCGTTTAATAACTAAAAGTCACGAAAGTGACTGTTCGCATCTATATAAAGAACTTATGTTATTACCGCTCAAGGAACGCCTGCTATTCAATAAAGCTAAACTTATTCATAAAATCATATCTAAAAATGCACCAAGTTACCTTTGGCCGTTATTTAAATACAAAGTAAGTCATAGCGAACGCCTTAACATATTGCATATCTCTAAACCTAGAATAGACCTATACAAAACAAGCTTAGCGTACTCTGCAGCTCAGCTGTAGAATAATCTTCCACCGGAAATAAAAAATATTAATAACCCCTATAGATACAATCGGAAACTATTCGAATATTATCTCACTATAGACTATATGCCCCCTTAAAAGATGATATTATGTTAAGGCTATGATGTATTTCCATGCGATGTCTTGATAATTTTTTAATTTTTGTGAGGGGGGTAGGGGTTAAAACTGAAGGTTATTATTATTGTTTAAAACTGAAGATGTCAGTCGAATGCATTCCAATGTTTGTAACGAATATTTAATTGGTTTTGATGATGTTTATATTATGCAACCTTTAAGACTCACGTCATTTTTGGAATATGCTTATTATTATGCTCTTTAAATTAGAGCACATTCCAGCATAATTAAGACTTAGATATTGTAAAAAAAAATTTCCCCTTCTTTTTTCTTTTCTATTTTTCTTAAATTTTTAATTTTTGCATTCTTCTTTTTATTATTGTTATTATTAATATTATTGTTATTATTATTAACTATGAAATGAGGTACAAATGAAATTGTATGAAAGGATCGGAGTGGAAGAGCATAATGTTAGACGGGCCTGCGTGCCCAATTTCTAACCCTTTGAAAATAAAGTTTGTTCGTTCGTTCGTCGGTTCTTCTATAAAGACTTTTCTTGCAGTATAAAAAATTACAATACATCTTTCCCAGTAAAGACAGGTGTACGACACAGGGATGTGTTATGTCATGTCTCCTCTTCAACCTTGTGATTGATTGGATACTGAAGAACACAATAGACAGGACATTGAGAGGCATACGATGGACTCTATTCACCATGCTTGGGGACCTTGATTTTGCAAATAATATAGCACTCTTATCACATAAACATGAACATTTACAAGAAAAAAGTAACAGACTACACAGCACAGCAGAAATGGTGGGACTGAGAATAAATACAAAGAAAACTAAGATCATGACAAGCAGTCTAAACCAACAACCAGCGACCATAAATAACCAAACTCTTGAAAATGTAGAACATTTCACATTTCTTGGCAGTGTGGTGTCCCTACTGAGAGGGACAGAGGAAGACATACAGTCACGTCTGAATAAAGCTAGAGCTGCTTTTGGAAGGATGAGGCAAATCTGGAAATCCAACAATCACTGCAGAGGAACGAAACTTCGACTCTACATGAGCATCATTTTGCCAGTTCTTCTTTATGGAGCGGAATGCTGGAGAATGACCAAAAAGGGTGCACACAAGCTGTCCACATTCCACTACACATGTTTACGTAGAATTATCAAAATTTTTTGGTCAGATACAATCTCAAACACTAAATTACTTCAAGTCACAAACCAAGAAACTTTAGACAGTATGATAACCAAGAGAAGATGGAAATGGCTTGGCCACGTTATGAGAATGAATCCTGATATACCCGCCAAAACAGCTCTCACATGGACACCAGAGGGAAAGAGAAAACAGGGGCGCCCAAAAACAGCATAGAGACTAACAATTGAAAGTGGCCTGAGTGCGGCATCTTTGACATGGAAAACTGCACTGAAGATTGTGCAGGACAGGAAAGCATGGAAAGTCTTCTCTGAAGCCTCATGGGCCACTAGGCAAAACGAGAACTGATATGATGAGATCAAAGAGCTTGGAATACTTGAAGCCACGTGCTAGACCCTCGACCATGTATCTGAAGATCGTGGAATCAAATCCACATTGTGTCGGATTATTTTCGTACATGACGTTGGTTCCCAGGTCGACCCAACCTTAAATGGGTAGAACCACGGGAAGTAAATGTGGCCGACATAATGTTGACTACATCGCCGATCTACTGTTTTTTTTTTTTTTTTTTTTTTAATACATATTAGCCTAGCATGTAATGCACGAAGTGCCAATTGAGTAAAATTGGATCATTTTTTTAACTTTCATTAAGGAAAACAGTTTGTTTATTTAATAATAGTTATTGTATTTACAGAGAAGTCATCATAGTTCCAGTGGTCAACTTTGTCACCAGCATCTTTGCAGGATTCTTCGTCTTCTGCACGCTGGGAATTGTGTACGAGAAAACCGACGTGTGTATTGAGGAGTTGATTAATCTGGGATCTGACTTCTTCGCCTTCGTGATCTTTCCCGAAGCTGTCTCGCTGCTGCGAATACCCCAAGCCTGGGCTCTGATGTTCTTTTTGATGCTGTTCTTTGTTGGACTGGATACCCAGGTAGTTGATGACACCATTCACACGCGACGATACAAAGAAAACTTTCAGGAGAAAAGCGGACTGCCGCCTTGTCATTTTCTAGTCCTAGTCCTCTTCTCATCGTTTTCTGTGAATTCCTTTTCCAATACATTTGTCTTGAAATTCAGAGAAGTGCATGGGGGTTCATAGCAAAAGAGAATGGACGTCGTTTAGTGCAGGAAAGTCTGGCACATAATATTACAAAGTATAGTTTGAGAATGGAGGCGGAGGCAGTCACTGCTACCTTCTGATATCTTGAAAATTAGTCATACACAAATTTCATAATTCTGACTAATTCACAGAGTATGTTGAAGTAGGTAGAGACAGGCAAGCTCCGTGCAGAGTGGCAAGCATCGCTACAGAGGTCCAGGGTAGTTAGCGTCCTTTGGATATTGGGTCCAGGTCATGCGGGTGTGTTGCTTTAAGAGAGTCAGGAGCACCCACGCCTGTCAGTAAGGCACTTGATGATAATGAACTTGAAACAGGCATCGAAAAAATTCAGCCAGTCCTACAAACATTAAACAGCTGTTTTAAAACAAAGATGTTCATATAGTTTATGTTAGCGACCTACTTTTTAGACATCTTAGTTTGCGACATAGCAATCCAGTCTACGAGAAGACGAAAGGAAAAAAAATCCAATGTTGCATATTGATTATTCTCTTAAATTACCACTTTTGATTCTTTAGTCAGATCAAACACCACTGGGGATTGAAAATAAGAGTAGCAAAGGGCATAGAATGGGTAAGAGGGACAGAGGCTGAACAGCACGAGGGTGGACACAGGACACAAGCGATATCTAGTGCCGTAAAGCGCATGCTGCTGGAGAGCTGGCAAGGGACCTAGTCTCTTTCAAACAGGCTGTGACGGGAGCGACGTTCTGTAATGTACCTGTAAAACGGTGATAATGATGATGCTGATAATGAATAATGATGATTATGATACATCTTCATAGTGTAGCCTTTACACGAATATGTCATGACACAGTTTGAAACACTCTTCTTCTTTTTAGAGTTCACCGGATGTGAACTTTGGCGGAAATCTTCAGTCGGTTGCCCCCTTCTGAACTTTGGCCCTGATATAGAACTTGAGTTTTCCGTGGATTTCCGTTTTACAGATCTGCCTAAATTGCATGTAGACTCTTGGTTACTTACCTATCAGACAGATGTACTCCGAAAAAAACAATTCTAGTATTCGCCTCTTACGAGATGCTTGTGGCGTATGTGTGGGTGTGTGAGGAGGAGAGGGAAGGTGGGTCTGTTTTATGTTCTCTAAACTGGAGCCCTAGAATCCACACGCAGATGAAAGCTCCATTAGAAATAACTGTTGTTCGTGGCTTTTTAAATATAGTTTATACTTGCTTTTTTTTTTTTTTTTTGTTATCACTATCATCAACAGTTCGCCTACTTTGGAATGATCACGGACGCTTTCATAGACGAGTACCCAGAAATTCTCAGAAAACGTAAAGCTTTATTTACAGGAGTCTGCTGCCTGATAGCTTTTATATTTGGAATTCCTTTGGTGTTCCAGGTAAATTAGATGTTGATATCTACCATGTTGCAGGAACTTTTACAAGTGTGTGTATGTATATATGTGCATATGCTAAGTCAGTCTGTTTCCAAACACACCGGCATAACTTGGAGAAAATATCCAGAGGACGCTAACTACTCGGGACCCCATCTACCTGAAACCTCTGAAAAGTTGTTTGCCACTCTGTGTTAAGCATACCTGTCTTCACCTTTCTCAACACGTTCTATGAGTCGATTACAAAAAGCTTTGTTTGGGTAAAGCTGGTTCTCAAGCCGGCGGGAGGTTACAGTGACTGCCTCCACCTCCATTCTCAAATATTTTATGAGAGTGTGAACTCGACGAGTGGACAAAAACGTGTCCTTCTCGTATTTGCCAGCTTCATCCAGTCAGAGCAACAAATATGCCTTCGGGCATATTGGGCATAAAGCGCTTCAACTATTTGACAGACCAGTCGGCAACTGGTGGATAACGGGGTCATCATGGCGACCACCACATTTATTTCCCATGACGTCACCTAGGACCCACTCGAGGCTGGGTCAGCCTGGGAGTCTAGGTTATTTTCTTTTTATTAAAAGAAGAAGTCTGTCTCCATCAATTAACGAACTCACGACCTTTCGATCCGCAGTTGAGTATGTAGTCGCGACATCACGGCGGCTCCTCAGCAACATGTGGTACAGTTTAAAAGGCGAAATATAAATATAAGAAACATGAGGCTGTTTCAAAAAGTTCTTTTAGAGCATTAACCACGTCGACCATATCATGCATTAATATTCCAAGTTGTGTTGAGCCAGCCGGTCTGTCCGTCTGTTCATTTCCCAACACACCGGTCTGTCTTGGAGAAAAGATCTAGGCAATGCCCGTAACCCTTAAGTTGAAAGCGCGGCGTGCCACTAACACAAGACTAGGCTTACCATGAAAACATTACAAGTGTTATTGAAATTACCCATATTAAGAATACAAAAAATTAAAAAAATTAAAATTAAAAAAAAAAAAACCCAGATAACAGAACATTGCTACTCTTTGGCTCATGTCAAACGTGGGGCGGCCATCTTGTTTTTTGACGTCTGTTTCACGATGTCACGTGCTGAACATTCTTGTTATTGCTAACAACAAATATTGACAGGTCACACGTCAATGGCATGCTCACTGTGATGTCTCTCACACTGTTAAGGTTTTCGTTAGAAGCTTTCTTGTATCTGCTCTTTATTGAATAGTATACATGCAAATATGTTTACTGTGAGTCGCCGTCGGCTAGCGGTTAGATGCTCACCTGTGGATCCGGATGTTCATGGTCACAAATCCGCATGAAATCAATGTTACTTTCCCAAATATGACCTTGGTTCCCAGGTCAACACAGCCTTAAATGAGTACCGGGTACAGTCCTAAGAAGTAAAGACCACATCACCCGTTGTAGTACATATTATTATGTCTAGCCCTATATGCCCGTTGTTCTATTGACTTGTAAAGGGACTTTTGCTTTTTAGTTTGGTAATGTATTCGCTACGCCATACTTTCAGGGAAGCACCTACCTGATACAGATAATCGGCAGCTACGCCGCCGGCTTCACCCTTATGCTGCTTTCTGTAATGGAATGTGTAGTTGTCTGCTGGATCTACGGGGATCAAAGATTTGCCAGGGACATCGAGTTGATGCTTGGCGAGACTCCCGGTTACTGGTGGATGATGATGTGGAAGTACTTCACTCCTTTGCTTGTTGGTGTAAGTCTGGCTGGTTTTCTAATGCTATGAATTATAGTCTGTGATTCCGTCTTCTTCGCATTCACCTGCAGAAAGTTCTTGCAGTTCGTTCTCTTCTTGACTTGACATATCGGTTATACTGATTTGGTATACTTACATGCAGACTGTTGGTCCTTGCCTCTCTGTAAGTGTTTACCTTAGTGTGTTTAGAGATAAATAGTCTGTCTCAGGTTTACCCCGCCAGCCATCTGTAGACAGTATCTGACAAGCAGCACTGGCTTTTGTCATTCCGTGTCGATATAGAAGTTCTTGAATGTCTTCAATTAATCTCATCTTCTCTTAGGGCGGATTTTTGCTTTCACTTCCGATTTTTTTATGTGTAGCGCCTGCGTTGCAGTTTTTTATGGCCAAACCATTTGATTTTCTGTTTCTCTAGGAATTAATTGCAAAGTGTTCTACAGTCTGTCTGATAATATCATTTCTAACTGTGTCTCGGGTGGTTAAGACATTATATGAGGAGGTTTATTCACAGTTTGAAAATATTTTTCTTATTCGGTGACTTGAAAACGAAGTACAACTCATCAACTCGGGCCTAGAAAGAGATTGACTTCCCTTGTCATTCATCCATGGTCGTGTCGTGGGGCTTGTCCAGCAACACAATGAGTTTTACGTGGTGTTGTCACCGGCTGCCGATACCGTGTGATCTATATTCCACGATGATAGCACTTTTAAAGGTCTCAAAACGTGCTCAACTGGCTCTAACCCCCACCCCCACCCCACCCCTACGCTGCAGCCTCAGCCTACGTCCCACGAGAGAGTGCAGCCTACGTCCCACGATAGCATGCAGCCTATGGAAAACAAAGCGTAAAATGCATTGTTTGCTGGATGCTCACTATGCGTGACACCCCCGCGGCATAAGACAGGCCCTGTGACACGACCAGGGATGAATGGAAAGGAAAGTCACTCTCCTTGTGGGCCTAACTTCGTAAATAGTTCCAAAAATCATATCTTCAGATGAACTAAATAAAAACTGTGAACAGCAGGCTAATATATATTACAAAGACCTAAAATATGATGAGCTTTTATGTGAATGTAATTAGCCAAGCACTTCATCACTACACTGTACAGAGAAATGATTGGAAAGAATTTGAAATATGGTTTTTATATTGTTGAATTTGCATTCAGAGTGTTTATGTTCATGACGGCAACCAACTGTACAGGAAAACGTTCTTCCTCAAGACTGAAACAGCTTTTGAAAATGTGCTTAGTTTTACAATGGAGCATCATCCTTTGAACCGGCTTGCACTCAGGTGCAAGGATAGTTTCATCTACGAAGACCGCTGTTTTCTAGCCAATACTAAAGCAGTTATGTGAGAATAATGCTTCGTAATAATTTCATACTGTGCCATCTGATATATATATATACATATATATATATATATATATATATATATATATATATATATATATATATATATATATATATATATATATAATATATATTACACCAGTTTTCGTGGAAGTGTCAACAACAACAAATTCAATATTTAATAATTTCATACTGTGCCATCTGATATATATATATATATATATATATATATATATATATATATATATATATATATATATATATATATATATATATATTTTTACACCAGTTTCGTGGAAGTGTCAACAACAACAAATTCTGACATTATCGACCATGTATATTTCCTTCCTTTGAGTGGTTGCTTTAGCAACATGCTGGTTTACCCTGAGACCTATAATACGGTCCTAATTACGTTTTCCGGTCCATAAGCACACTGGTTGACCCTTTCATTCAAGCTTGCTCTGACTTTTCAACGTTGGAGGGGTGGCATTGTCTCCGGTGGTGTTGATAACGAACGACCACATTAGAGGGGTGTCATCTTGTCCTGTATTTGCGAAGAGGTTTCTATATTGTGCGTATATAGGCGGCGAGCTAAGCAATATGACGTAGACCAGCCTAAGCAAGCATGAATGTAAGATCAACCAGTGTGTAGATGGGCCGAGCAACGTAAATACAACCCACAATACTGTTAAGACGACCTGAGTGACAGTCGTTCAATCCCACCAGGACAGTACAACAAGCAATTAACATCCACTGACACAAAGTGCCCCTATTCGGATGGGAATCCCTCAGGCGCAAGTCCTAGAAATCCCCGTTGATCCGTTAGGCTATATAAGGGCCCCGACAACAGTCCGCAAAGAAAAAAAAAGGGGGTGGGGGGGAGCTTTTAAACAACAACTAACTATTCGTCCCGACTGACCGACTGACTTTCTTCCCCACTAGGACATCACACAAGCGATAAACACCCGATGACACAACGTGCCACCATGCGGATGAGGATCGCCGTGGAGAGGTCCCAGAAACCGCGTTCAGACAATTGGCCCTAATTATGGCCTGCTTATATTGCGGCCCCTGGCCAAAGCCAGGGTGGGGCTTCAAATAACAAACAATTTTAAACCTACTATTCGTCCCATATCGGGACGATAATTTCGTTCTAACCGCTCTGTGTGTCCGGGGAGATATAGTTTTCTGCTTATGAATGGAATTAGCCGATCAAAATCAGAGTTGTGAAAAAAAAAAAACAAATGTCCGCAGTATACTTGGGCCTTCTTTGTGGGGGACTTGAAACCCGAAACCCATGGAAAAGACAACGTGTTCCCTGAGTGGGCCAAAACAATGGGCTGGGGCTTCGGGCTGGTTTCGCTTGTTCCTCTTCCTGTCTACGCGGTCATCGCCATTCGAAGGGAGACAACTGGCAGTATATGGCAGGTATTCATTACTTTTGTGCTCTGTCGTGTGTGTGTGTGTGTGTGTGGTGTGTGTGTGTGTGTGTGTGTTAGGGGAGTGTTGTTGTTGTTGTCGTTGTTGTTTGCTTGCTGACCTACTTAGTCGATTCTCTTCTACCTTGAGGTGTAGAGGTTTCTCATAGAGATCGCCATAATTTTCTGTCAGCAGTTTTTATTTTGGATCTTGTTCCATTCCAATCCTCCATCAGTCACGGTCTGTCAGATATCTTCCTATTGAACCCTGTGTCGTCCAGGTGGTCTGGTTTCATGGTTCTAGGCATCGCATGCCTGCCATGGGGGCCGATTTTCTCCCATTCTGCATTCATGTCCAAACCATCGTCACTTTAACGTATCGACTCGATTTTGTAAGGACTGGATATCAAGATCGTGACGTACTGTCTGCAAATATTGTCACTTCTTATTACTAATCGCTACATTTCTATATTCTGGCGGCGTTGTTTCTAGTAAAAATAATTATTTATCGTATAACACTGCTAGTTTAATAACTTCTTTGTCAAACCTATTAGTCGTTTTCCTTCCACAAACAACAGTGGTATTTGTAGAAATAACTGAGTCTTTCCTAGCCCGTCTTGAGAATGTCCTAGGGCCTATTTTTTTCTTTTCTCTAGAGTTCAAATAAAATGAAACACACAACCGCGTTTAGCCTCAAATTCGAAATATTTACATAAGTGTACTATTAAATATTTGAGTTCATTGAATTTAACTGTAGCGGCTTTTCTGGGAAGAAATAATGCCCATTTCCCACATTCGGTTTATCGTCTCTGAATCATTTGTTTCTCAGAAGTCTCGAACTGATTCCTCTAATAACTACAGCAGACACAGCTAGTCTGACTGATTCCTCTAGTAACTACAACAGACACAGCTAGTCTGACTGATTCCTCTAGTAACTACAGCAGACACAGCTAGTCTGACTGATTCCTCTAGTAACTACAGCAGACACAACTAGTCTGACTGATTCCTCTAGTAACTGCAACAGACACAGCTAGTCTCAGGCGGGACTTCTGGATGCTTTCAACCCGTCCCCTTGCTTTGACTTTCTGTTACACTGAAATCCGTTAGCTTACATCGTAACTTCATTGGTCGTTACGGACAAAGAAACACCACCTGCTTGTGACATGTTTTCAATTTTTCACTTATTTCTTCTTTTTATTTCACTCCTTCCGTTTTTCCGTGCGGGCTGCTACTTAAAGCTTTGGCCACTGAGATTACAAAATTACCCTTCTAAGAAGTTACAATTAGAGAATTGAGAGCGGTTCATCATCGCTCTGTAACATTGCGTGTCGTTCAATCAATCAATCAGGTACCGTCTCCAAATTAAAGGTTGGCTGCAATAGATCTCCAGCACGCTCTGTCTTTTGTCCTGGTTGTACATTCTCGCAGGCTGCTGCCCATCCGCCTCTTGATGTTGTCCTCTCACCTGTATCGTTGCCTACCTCTTACTCTCTTGCCTTCGATCTTTCCCTCCAGTATGTTATGTCTTTTAATGTGTCCAAAGTATTTTAATTTTCTCTCCTTTTTTCCGCTAGTAATTGTCTTTTTATTTGTAGCCTTTCCAGTACCTCTTTAGTGGTCTGTTTTTGTTTCCATGAAATACGACCTATTCTTCTGTATACCCACATTTTCAGAGACTTAGATTTTCTAGCTGCTTGTTCATTGTCCAGGTTTCTGCACCATACAGCAGGACTGAGTATACATAACATTTGACGATTTTCATTTTCAGTGTTGTTTTTCTCTCGTGCTGTCAATAACTTGCGCATCTTATTGAAGACTGTTTTAGCCATTCTTTTTTCTTTTTTTTTTTTTTTTTTTCTGTTTCGCTTCTTCCATCATCTGTTACTTCAAAGCCTAGATAGGAAAAACTTTGTTACTTGTTATAACATCTCTCTGTTTACTGTGATGTTCACTGTTGGCCGCTCTTTTCCATTGTTAATTACCATAGCTTTGTTTTTCAAATATTAATGTCTTAACCACACTGCAATGTGGCTCTGCTTGGGTTTTATTCAACTCGTCACATTGCTATACTGACGTTCTTGGGTACACATAGTTGCTAAGAATACACCAGACGACGACCGTTTAGTTGTTGATCTTTATTTGCTTTTCGCACTGTCAATGCGCTCACTTTGTGTTTTTGTGGTTGCTACGCATGGCTGATTCCTGATGGCATTGCCAAATATCTCACACGGGGATTCTCTCTTCCATTACCTTTCGGATCATACATGTGGATCATGCTGACATATTGTACCTTGTACCTGTACACAATCGAACCTTGCAGTCAGTAGACAATTATTTCTGCTCTCAAACAAAAACACGTGCTCAGACGGTCAGCATTCGTCTCAGCTGTTCTCTCGCATTCGACCGCACACATCCAGGTTTAAACTTCACCTGGCTTCCTACCCTCTCTGGGTTCACAACTTCGGTTTAAGTCTCCCGCTTTCCTCGTATCCCTATTTACTCACCACGGGATACTCCAGACCTGCTTATCTCACTTTCCTCTTGTTTCACTGGCCCTCTGACCTAGTCGCCCCAATCGGGAAATCTCTGGGAATTCACAACATTACACATACTCTGCACTCCGCCCGTTGACTTGATCATCGAATTGTTACACATTGCTAGTGTCCCATGCCTTTGTTAGCGTTTCCCCTAATGAACTAAATGACACGCTGAAATAGTTTTTAGTGTTGAGATGTTGACTCGCAATGGTCTAGGCAGAATCCTGCAGCTCTAATGAACATCCAACCAACCTACTTCAGGGGTGACTCCAATTATGGAAATGCAGAATACATAAAACATTCCTAGGCGCAACTTGGCCTGATTTCCTCACTACTATTAAGCCCTTAGACTAGATAGTAATCCTATGCTAGTCAAAATAACACAGTAAAACATGAAGAATAACAATACCACAAACGCCCCAGACAACCATGAACTGTGAATGACGGACACTAAAAACACAATGTAAAAAATCACAAAACATCATGTAATCAGTGTCACACTTGTAGGAATAAAAAAGGAAAGAATTCAGCAAGATCAATCCTCACTAATCAAACAAAGAACAAGTTGCGACAGATGTAAGAGTCTGGGTCGTCCTTAGTTAAAATCATCACTGCTAAAATTAGGAATACTTGACCCAGGGAACTAGCATATAGGTTTAGGATTAACCTTAGGTGCTGGTAGATCGACTTATCTTTCTCAGTTCCTGTTCACTTGACTGGATGTCTTCTCACACATTTGGTAGAGCAGGTATGACGACGGGTGAATTCTTTCTTGAAGCTCACGGCTCATTAAATACAATAATGAATATAAATGACCGTCTACACATTGACTCCACTGCTAAACTCAATGCCACTATGTATTTCACGGAAGATGGGTCCGTATCAGATTTAAAACATGTTACAGTCTAAACTTTAAGCCACCACTGGTCGTGGAAGCTGTAGGACCACATACACGTCACGGAGCCTTGCAGATACAAGCTGGTGGTGAACACTACAGAGCCACAGGCAGTTGGCGACTATGAAGTCACTGACATGATGTATGGGCAGGAATGAGTGGTAAACAACAGTCACCTCCTCCTGTTTACAGGATGTGGGTTAAAACGGAAACTTCTAGGCTACTGGTTGTCAACTTGACTTCCAGACAAGGTTAAAATCCTGTGACAAAGAGGAAAACTAGAATTAGCAATCATCCTCCACCCTACAAACCAAGATCCTCAGTCCTCGATCTATCCACATACTTTGAGCTCAGATGCCTGTGGTTTTGAAAGACTGCATTAGTCTGCAACAAACCCCAGCATCGGCATTGTCAGTTTAGAGGTACGCAAGGAACAAAGTTCTCTCTAATGCTACTCTGTACTGACAGCGATATTTTACGAATGCCGATCTATAGAAGGATAACACCCTTTCCCTTGTCATACTGGAATACCTATACTCACGCAAGTATACCACAAATACAAGTATATATATATATATATATAAAACACGAACAAGTCACACACAACGCGCACATCCATCTCCGTGCCAAGTGTTTTTTTTTTTTTATGTTTCCGAAGTCGGCAGGAGGCGGAATATGACGCCAGACCTGTACTAGATTTAATCTGACCTCGGCTGAAACCGATCGATAAGCTTGTGTGTTGACGCAAATACGCGACCTTTTTCGAAGACTGGCCCAATACACATAACAATGCACCAAGGGCCCAATACACATAACAATGCACCAAGGGCCCAGTACACATAACAATGCACCAAGGGCCCAGTACACATAACAATGCACCAAGGGCCCAATACACACAACAATGCACCAAGGAGACTAAGCAGGATACCTAATGCCCAAGCTCTCTGGAAGCCATTGAAGGAGCCCGATGAGAGAATAACCTCAGCTCTTTAGGGGGACGCTTAAGTTATGCCCCCACCTTTAGTCAGAGTGGTTGGACGGCTCGGTCCTATTATTTCACATAGCCATCTCTGTCCTACACACAGCAGCAGGGCTACTTATTTGTACTCATAAACTATAATGTACTCACCCTTGCTCAAGGATATTCTCGGATAAATCTGATTCAAACAGAGAAAGGTAGACATATAGAAACATTTAACAAACAATCTGTCCTCTCGGGAAGCTTAGGCAAGAATGAGTTTAAACTAAGTGTCTCTCCCGATAGAGGCAAAAAGGGGGGAGGGGGGGGGGCATTATCCGCGTCCAAAGCGGTAGTTAGGCAATTTGAATTTTGGCTTCACTGTCAATGAGCCTCCCACCTAAGGTTCGTAATTTAAGAATATACCATTCCTAAGATAACTAGGAAATAATTGACAATAATTGAATGCAGACAGTCCCACATTTAAATTTGCTCCATTTGCATGGGGTGACAAGATTCATGTATGCCTAAGATGAGAGGGGTGTGGGCTGTCTCGTGAAACTAATTATTATAACTCCAGCTCGTTTTCTACTAGTAGCACTGTGTCATCTGCGTATCTCAGATTGTTTATTGTTCTGCCATTATTATTCAGTCCAGACAATTCCTCAAAATGTTTAAGAATGTTTTCTGTTCATAAGTTGAAAAGGCTAGTGGATAACACACATCCCTGATGTACTCCACTTTGCATCTCTATCTGTGGCGAGGGGATGTGTCTGTTGCTGTTTGTTCCCAGTATAGGTTACTGATAGTTCAGATATCTTTCTATCTAATCCTATGTTTTGGAGGCATGCCATTAGCTTTTCATGTTGAACTCTGTCAAAGGTCTTCTTGTAATCCATGAAACTGGTTAAATACTTTTCTGGACTTCTATACATTTTTCAGTCAGCATCTTTAAACAAATTATGACTTCCCTAGTGCCACTATTTTTCATAAATCCAGACTGTTCCTCAGACACTTCAATATTCATTTTACTTTAAATTATTTCTTAAATGATCTTGAGAAGTATTTTAGTTACATGGCTCATCAACCTGACTGTTCTTTAATCTTCACTCAGTGGCTTTGATTCCATTGTTAACTTGAGGTTGATACATGGTGAGGTCCTCATCTCTTCTACGATGTCTAGCCGTGTTCTCTGTTGTGTGCTGAACCGCGAAGTATTGTTTTTGAGAGGTCTTTAGATTTTAATGTTAGCTCTGTGGCTAAGTCGATGCGAACGCTTCGTAATGCCGGGATGCCGGGTTCGATCTCAGCTGCAGGCCATGCGCCTTGGGTTGGTTTCGACAGTGGTATCAAGAAAGCCGACCGGCCAGAGGCAATGACAAACTGCTGGACGTAAATTTGCCTAGAAAAACCACACAGTAGCCAGGGGCTGGTTGGGGTTGGTTCTGCAGAGTCCTGTAAGGGTACGCAACTAACCTTCAGATTTTAGTATGTGTCAGCACCATTACATTTTTCGTCTTTTCACTGTAGTTAAAAAATAAAGGTTCATGGTTGGCAATGTGCTCGGTAATTATACGGTAAACCTCGTTATTTGTCATGTGGTCTTTGTTTGATATGGCAAGAATTTTTTCTGAAAGATCTCATTTCTAATGCTGGTAACATCTTATCGAGTTCAGCTGTTATAGTCCCAGTTTGCCGTCCACAAGTAAACGAACTAATAGCTAGTGCTATGAGCAGTCGCAGTTTAGTTTTATATGAAATTGTGTGTGGATCTCCATAAGACTGACTATTTGCCATGGACTGATGATGTCTGGGCGATCCTGGATATGATTTATAGTCTGGACACTAGCTCAGTTAGAATAGATCCTGAAGATTTGAAATGACTAATTTGGTCTGAGTTGTGAATTTTAACGTAAATTGGTATAGTGCAGCATTTACATTCATTTATTCACTCTCACTCATTATTCATCATCTATTCATTATTTATTAACTCTCACTCACTCACTTACTCACTCATTCTTTCATTCACTCGGGCACTCATTCATTCATGCATTTACTGCTTCGTTCTTCATTCATTCATTCATTTTCTTCTGGAGGGGTGGGGGGGGGGAGTCTCGGGGTCCCATTCTAGGGAGAAAAAGAATAGACCAGCTGCCCCACCCCCCCCCCTTCCCCACCCCATACCCCGGGACACTAAAAGCTAAGAAGAATAGATAGAACGCACTGTTTCATTCACTAGCCTTGAATGAATACCAGCTGGAGTCCTATGAAGTAAAGGCGGCCGGCGTAATGCTGTCCATATCACCCATGAAGTGTCGTTTAGTCGATGAAATATATCTAGCCTGATAAACACAAAACACCTGAATGTGTGGAAATAGTCCTTTAAAGTTTTTTTGTTTTTTTTAAATCACTCATTGATGCGTTATAATATTCGTTAAACTGTTGACTCCGTCATTTATTTCAACCCACAGCGCATAAAAAAACTGACACAACCGGCATTCAACTGGGGTCCAGCTCTTGTAGAGAACAGGGTCAGATACTTGAGGTCCATGAGCAGGTATGATCGTGAACGCTTCGAGTCAGCTTTCTTTGATATGGACCGGGCTCGCTACTTGTCCCTGAGAAAGCCGCTAAGCTTAGACACAACACAGAGCATCGACATCAACCCCGTGTATGGGGTTAGAAAAACTGGACTGCCTTTGGGGGCTGCCGTTCCTCTTCGAATGCCTGATAGCAAATCGTCTGCGCAAGTATAATTTTAAACAGAAAAGGACCACAACTCTCTCAGTCCCAACCAGCGCACGATGCGTTATCAGTATTGACCTTGAGTACCAAACCACGAACGATTTAATTTGTGATTATCTTAATAATACTACAAAAACCTGGCAGGTCCTTCTCCTATCCCTTAACATTTCTGTTACTCCATCTATAATCACCATGACGGGTATGGAACCTGTCATCTCCAATCGACCTCAACGGCTCGTTACCGAAACAAGTTAACTAAGACTCATGACAAACTAGGCCCTCCCTTCCCCTCCCCCCTCCCCCCAACCACCCTTAGCACACAACGTGTCTTCATTAAACAAAACTATCGTGTAGCTTGAATCAACAGGTATAGAATAAGTGCAGATTTCGCCTAAAACCATTGAAATAGCAACACAGGTTTCAGAAATGTATATTGAACAAGTATAGGTCGAATAACAAACACAACACCATTTACGAACAGCTCGCACTGTAATGCTGCGAGTACATGGAATAATTTAATACATTGTGGATTATTTATTATATATCTATTGCCGTTCTGTTCTCACACGTTGTTTATATTCATTGAGTCTATCGCTACCTTGCATTTGTCTAGCTGAATGTTTTCGTGCTTAAAGAGTTGTAATGCAACATGAAAGTTAAACCGATAAGTCTGAAGCAGATCAGCACATTTAACCCATGTGCTGTGAACCAATGCCCACAATGAAAACAGAGATGTTTTAAAAATAAGGAAATGGGTGAATTTCAGGGAGACCACTATAAAAAAAAAAAAAGCACAAGAAATAAGTGGAACTAAAGGGAAGGTAACAAAGTGTGTGAGCTGTCAACATGGTGGTCTGAAGAAAAAATAAGAATTGTGCACAATAAAACGAAAGCCTATGACACTTGGCTAGGGAGCAGAACTGAAGAGGATTACATAACATAACAGGATAATCAGAAGAGAAGTAAATAGAACTATCACATGCAAAGAGAAATTCATGGGAAAAGGTTGGAAGCAAGCTGGCTAAAGTACAAAGTTCAGTAGTGAAAAACTACTAAATCAAACGTCTAAGCAATAAAAACGAAGATTACAACCCAGCTTCCGGTGTAAACAGCCACAATGGCGGTACGCCTTTTTGTCCTTTGAGGCGAATGGCGCAAATCTGCTATTTTCGCTCACTTAATGTGAAAGTTTCATCGGAAATGGATTTGAGCCGTGCAATGGAGCACGTGAGTTCAGACTTCCCTCAGGGTGTATTCAACGTCTGATGGCGACTATTTACTATGAACATGTCCGGAGTGGAATGTTGATAATCCAGCTAACTAACAATTCAAAAAAATGATGAAAAAGGTCAACCTTTAAAAGAACGTAACAACATGTTAGCAAAGCGGACCAGTTACTTTGAAGCATTATTTAGCTGCAAAAAAACAGATGAAATCAGGGAAGAACATAAAAGCAACTCGGAACTAACTGCAAAGGAACTAGAATCTGATATATTATCAGATGAAGAAGCAGAAAATGGCATTCATACAGCCCCTATACTTAAGGCGATATGCACTGATAATCTACTGGCGAGGTTCTTGAGATACTTTGGGTAGATTTAAACTCCCAATTTTGACCGACAGGAAACACCAAGAAAGAAGAAGGAAGACATGCACCAGTGACAACAGGACGAGCGGTTTGATTCGGATGGAAGCATCAAGCCCAGAAATGGCACAAACACTAAAATTCAGTCACGAAAGTGACGCATTTAACACAGACCACAAATATATGCGGAGACTGCTAGCAGCCTATGCTATCTAGCAGCAGTCTGAACGTGGTCGAGCTTTTCTTTTTTTTTTTTTTTTCAAAAGGACTTGGACTTGGAAATAAAATAAAATAAATGAAATGAAATAAACGAAGGCTCGAAAAAAAAAAAAAAATGCCCCCTTTCCCTTAAAAACAATTGTGATAATATATAATAATAGTAAAGGAGTAACAGATATATAAATGTTAATTATGAATAACTGGAACTTTTTAGAGACAGAATGAAATAATAATATGAAATAAAATATAATAAACATGAGCATGACACAACATAATTTTTTTAAGTTTTTGACACTAGTAAAACTGTTGAGATGAATTCTTGCCCGACAATATTGCCTCCTGAACACATAGACTGTGGGTAAGGCCATTTTCCAGAGCAAAGCGCGTGGTATGATCGCCAAAGTCGATGAAAAATGCATAGCCTAAAATATACATGCAAAATATGCGCACACATCGTGCGCGCGCACACACACACACAACGCACTTACACATACAGAAACGCACACATTGATGATCCACACACGCAACATAAACAGACATACACACAATCACAGACATGAAGCAGACACACAGATCCCATACATAAGCATACACACACACACACAACAGCACACAGTCACAACAGCACACAGTCACAACAGCACACAGTCACAACAGCACACAGTCACAACAGCACACAGTCACAACAGCACACAGTCACAACAGCACACAGTCACAACAGCACACAGTCACAACAGCACACAGTCACAACAGCACACAGTCACAACAGCACACAGTCACAACAGCACACAGTCACAACAGCACACAGTCACAACAGCACACAGTCACAACAGCACACAGTCACAACAGCACACAGTCACAACAGCACACAGTCACAACAGCACACAGTCACAACAGCACACAGTCACAACAGCACACAGTCACAACAGCACACAGTCACAACAGATGTAACGCCTCCCTGTGTGGGTTCTACGGCCCTATTATAGGGAAAACAAAAACAGACCCACTGCCTACACAAAGCATGTCGTAAGAGTCGACTAATTGGGAGCTTTCTTCGAAGTCGGAGTGCATCTGCCTGAGAGACAAAGAACCAACAGTCTGCACACAAATGTGTCAGATCTGTAAAACGGATGCACACGCAACACTCAGGTTCGGGAACAGGACTGCAGTCCAGAAGTGGATGAACAACCAGAACTTTCCCTCAGAGTTTACAGCTGGTGAACGCAAAGAAGAAGAAAAAGAAGATGTAACACGGATTTGCACGCAAACTTAAGCTCTGGAATAAGAGCAAATTTCAGAAGAGGACGAACGACCAGAGCTTTTTCTCGGAGTTTTCAGGCACTGGCTGCTAAGAAGATCCTCTTCTCCTCCTCTGCGTTTGTTCGTGTGTTCAGGTTAAACTGACAGACTCTCTGTCGGTACAGGTTAGACTGACAGACTCTCTGTCGGTACAGGTTAGACTGTCAGGCTCACTGTCGGTACAGGTTAGACTGACAGACTCTCTGTCGGTACAGGTTAGACTGTCAGGCTCTCTGCCGGTACAGGTTAGACTGACAGGCTCACTGTCGGTACAGGTTAGACTGACAGGCTCTCTGTCGGTACAGGTTAGACTGACAGACTCTCTGTCGGTACAGGTTAGACTGAGAGGCTCACTGTCGGTACAGGTTAGACTGTCAGGCTCTCTGCCGGTACAGGTTAGACTGTCAGGCTCTCTGTCGGTACAGGTTAGACTAACAGGCTCTCTGTCAGTACAGGTTAGACTGACAGGCTCTCTGTCGGTACAGGTTAGACTGTCAGGCTCTCTGCCGGTACAGGTTAGGCTGTCAGGCTCTCTGTCGGTACAGGTTAGACTGACAGGCTCTCTGTCGGTACAGGTTAGGCTGGCAGGCTCTCTGTCGGTACAGGTTAGACTGACAGGCTCACTGTCGGTACAGGTTAGGCTGGCAGGCTCTCTGTCGGTACAGGTTAGACTGACAGACTCTCTCTCGGTACAGGTTAGACTGACAGACTCTCTGTCGGTACAGGTTAGGCTGGCAGGCTCTCTGTCGGTACAGGTTAGGCTGGCAGGCTCTCTGTCGGTACAGGTTAGGCTGGCAGGCTCTCTGTCGGTACAGGTTAGACTGACAGGCTCTCTGTCGGTACAGGTTAGACTGACAGGCTCTCTGTCGGTACAGGTTAGACTGACAGACTCTCTCTCGGTACAGGTTAGACTGACAGACTCTCTGTCGGTACAGGTTAGGCTGGCAGGCTCTCTGTCGGTACAGGTTAGACTGACAGGCTCTCTGTCGGTACAGGTTAGACTGACAGGCTCTCTGTCGGTACAGGTTAGACTGACAGGCTCTCTGTCGGTACAGGTTAGACTGGCAGGTTCTCTGTCGGTACAGGTTAGACTGACAGGCTCTCTGTCGGTACAGGTTAGACTGGCAGGTTCTCTGTCGGTACAGGTTAGACTGACAGGCTCACTGTCGGTACAGGTTAGACTGACAGGCTCTCTGTCGGTACAGGTTAGACTGACAGGCTCTCTCTCGGTACAGGTTAGACTGACAGGCTCTCTGTCGGTACAGGTTAGACTGTCAGGCTCACTGTCGGTACAGGTTAGACTGACAGGCTCTCTATCGGTCAGGTTAGACTGACAGACTCTCTGTCGGTACAGGTTAGACTGACAGGCTCTCTGTCGGTACAGGTTAGACTGACAGGCTCTCTGTCGGTACAGGTTAGACTGACAGGCTCACTGTCGGTACAGGTTAGACTGACAGGCTCTCTGTCGGTACAGGTTAGACTGACAGGCTCACTGTCGGTACAGGTTAGACTGACAGGCTCTGCGTTTGTTCGTGTGTCCAGGTTAGACTGACAGGCTCACTGTCGGTACAGGTTAGACTGACATGTTCTCTATCGGTCAGGTTAGACTGGCAGACTCTGCGTTTGTTCGCGTGTCCAGGTTAGACTGACAGACTCACTCTCGGTACAGGTTAGACTGACAGGCTCACTGTCGGTACAGGTTAGACTGGCAGACTCTGCGTTTGTTCGCGTGTCCAGGTTAGACTGACAGACTCTCTGTCGGTACAGGTTAGACTGGTAATCTGGTAATCTGGTAATTTTAATTTTAGCTTCATAGCAAACGGGTCACCCCATCTTTGCTCCGCTCCTGTGCCAACGAAAAACACACAGAATGTTTATCACAGTCCCTTGTGGAAAGACAAACTACTATGTCAGCATATCTAGCATACACTCGCATTAAAACATATTGTAGCCATCCTAAGTGCTAACACAAACAGTCTGAGGTTAGAAATGCAGTTCATCATTGATGGTAGCAGAAGTCACCAAAAGATCAGCAGTTGCACACGCGATCAATTTTAATCTAATAATGACCCCACCAATATTGCGACAACCGGCATCGCGCCATTTTCTGAATCTACAAATCACACCACCACGTTGGTCAGGTGAAAAACATTCCAAATGAAATCTGCAGCTCACAGTGTCACGCTATGCACTCAACTCAGAAGCTGGGTAACGAAACTATATACTTCTAGTCTACAAATTGAGCAAAAAAGCAACAGGTTAGACTGGCAGACTCTGCGCTTGTTCGTGTGTCCAGGTTAGACTGACAGGCTCTCTGCCGGTACAGGTTAGACTGACAGGCTCTCTGTCGGTACAGGTTAGACTGACAGGCTCTCTGTCGGTACAGGTTAGACTGACAGGCTCTCTGTCGGTACATGTTAGACTGGCAGGTTCTCTCTCGGTACAGGTTAGACTGACAGGCTCTCTGTCGGTACAGGTTAGCCTAACAGGTTCTCTGTCGGTACAGGTTAGGCTGGCAGGCTCTCTCTCGGTACAGGTTAGACTGGCAGGCTCTCTGTCGGTACAGGTTAGACTGACAGGCTCTCTGTCGGTACAGGTTAGACTGACAGGCTCTCTGTCGGTACAGGTTAGACTGACAGGCTCTCTGTCGGTACAGGTTAGACTGACAGACTCTCTGTCGGTACAGGTTAGACTGACAGGCTCTCTGTCGGTACAGGTTAGGCTGGCAGGCTCTCTGTCGGTACATGTTAGACTGGCAGGTTCTCTCTCGGTACAGGTTAGACTGACAGGCTCTCTGTCGGTACAGGTTAGACTGACAGGCTCTCTGTCGGTACAGGTTAGACTAACAGGTTCTCTGTCGGTACAGGTTAGACTGACAGGCTCTCTATCGGTACAGGTTAGACTGACAGGCTCACTGTCGGTACAGGTTAGACTGACAGGCTCACTGTCGGTACAGGTTAGACTGACAGGCTCTCTGTCGGTACATGTTAGACTGACAGGCTCACTGTCGGTACAGGTTAGACTGACAATCTCTCTGTCGGTACATGTTAGACTGACAGGCTCTCTGTTGGCACAGGTTAGACTGACAGGCTCTCTGTCGGCACAGGTTAGATTGACAGGCTCTCTGTCGGTACATTTTAGACTGACAGGCTCACTGTCGGTACAGGTTAGACTGACAGGCTCTCTGTCGGTACATGTTAGACTGACAGGCTCTCTGTCGGTACAGGTTAGACTGGCAGGCTCTCTGTCGGCACAGGTTAGACTGACAGGCTCTCTGTCGGTACCGCATCTGTAGGTCCTGCGTGGTTCACCATAGCTTGGTCTGCACACTTCAGAAGAAGTTGATGAGTTCAGGCCGTTGTTCGGCACAACAGTGTAATTATATCTGAGATTCCAGTGGGATCGTCCATGAAGCTAGATATTTCGTGCTTTGTGCGAGGTTCTCGTCAGTCAGAGAGCCGTTCTGGATAGTTATCGGGGATATAACCGGCTGTAGTTAGAACCTCTAAAAGTTGATCTTTTCAAATATTTCAAGTGTGACGAATGTGGACGATAAATGGTGACAGAAAAAGGGGAAGCTGTCTGATTAAATCTGTTTATGGTGTTAGAAAATCTTCTTTTATTTTGTGATTATTTCTTTAATTTGCGGGTTCTTCTTTTTAATTTTTTTTTAATTCAAATATTATTTTCTGGTTTAGCTACTTTGTTCTTTCGGTTTTTAGTTTTTTTTTTTTTTTTGGTTGATATGTTCATTGTTTTGTTAATAGTTAGTTAGTTGGTTCTTTTATTTGGTTGTTTGTTTGCACTTAATGTTTGTGGTTTAGTGCCTTTCATTTTTATTATTTAAATTTTTTTTTTTTGTTTTTTGTTTTGTTAGGCTGTTCCTTTATTTGTTGGTTGGTGCGTTCTCTAGTTGGACCCAATTTTGTTTTTCTTTTCTTGGTTAGTTAGTTGCTTGCAGGCTTGTTGATTGATTCGTTCTTTCGCGTTCCCCCCCCCCCCCCCCCTTTAAATTCGCAGCTAACTGAGTACCACATAATTTGCCAAGTTACGGTTCTAGTTAACCCCATACAAAATGCCTGCCTGTGTCCTATGAGAAAATGTCAACAGTCCCTGCAAAATAAAACAGCCCACATATGCATGGAATGCTCATGACAACCTCCAGATGTGCCAACACCAACAAAATGTTACTGATAGAAGCAGCAGTTATTGTCAACAACAACAAAGCAATTGCACACGCATGACTGCATAAGTCATACAGCGAGGTACATGGCAACTGTTCAACCGCTGTTTTCTGAATAGGAAGTTTACAAAACAATTCACAGGGAGTACACTGTGCAACTGAAACTGTGCAAAAAATGCACGTCAAATGCACAGCTGAAAGTTTTGCACAGTGCACTCAGCTCAGTTGCACAGTGTACTCAGCTCAGTTGCACAATGCACTCAGCTCAGTGGCACAATGCACTTAACTCAGTTGCACAATGCACTCAGCTCAGTTGCACAATGTACTCAGCTCAGTTGCACAGTGCACTCAGCTCAGTTGCACAGTGCACTCAGCTCAGTTGCACAATGCACTCATCTCAGTTGCACAATGCACTCATCTCAGTTGCACAATTCACTCAGCTCAGTTGCACAATGCACTCAGCTCAGTTTCACAGTGTACTCATCTCGGTTGCACAATGTACTCAGCTCAGTTGCACAATGTACTCAGCTCAGTTGCACAATGCACTCAGCTTAGTTGCACAATTTACTCAGCTCAGTTGCACAATGCACTCAGCTCAGTTTCACAGTGTACTCATCTCGGTTGCACAATGTACTCAGCTCAGTTGCACAATGCACTCAGCTCAGTTGCACAATTCACTCAGCTCAGTTGCACAATTCACTCAGCTCAGTTGCACAGTGTACTCAGCTCAGTTGCACAGTGTACTCAGCTCAGTTGCACAGTGTACTCAGCTCAGTTGCACAGTGTACTCAGCTCAGTTGCACAGTGTACTCAGCTCAGTTGCACAGTGCACTCAGCTCAGTTGCACAATGCACTCAGCTCAGTTGCACAGTGCACTCAGCTCAGTTGCACAGTGCACTCAGCTCAGTTGCACAGTGCACTCAGCTCAGTTGCACAGTGTACTCAGCTCAGTTGCACAGTGTACTCAGCTCAGTTGCACAATGCACTCAGCTCAGTTGCACAGTGCACTCAGCTCAGTTGCACAGTGCACTCAGCTCAGTTGCACAGTGTACTCAGCTCAGTTGCACAATGCACTCAGCTCAGTTGCACAGTGCACTCAGCTCAGTTGCACAGTGCACTCAGCTCAGTTGCACAGTGCACTCAGCTCAGTTGCACAGTGTACTCAGCTCAGTTGCACAGTGTACTCAGCTCAGTTTCACAGTGTACTCAGCTCAGTTGCACAATGCACTCAGTTCAGTTGCACAGTGTACTCAGCTCGGTTGCACAGTGTACTCAGCTCAGTTTCACAGGGCACTCAGCTCAGTAGCACAATGCACTCAGCTCAGTTGCTGGTCAAGAGAATCGGTGTTTACCTTGACCTAGTTTACTGTCCCATCCAGTTTCAGAAAAAAAAAATTGTTATTCATGTGTCGACTAACCCCAAGAGTTATGACATCAATCGCCTGAAAAGGTCTGAAAGGAACCTATCTATACAGATGGAACTGGAGTGAGAGACATGGGGACTTAGAGTACAAGCGAATGGGCAACGGTCATTATAAAGAAGCATTGGATATCACAATATCTAGTTTGTGCAATGCATATGGAGGAAATCACAGCAGCTTTTCGCTGGTTCAAGAACTAGCTCGAGATACACGTGGTAATTTTAACAGACTCACAAAGCACGCGGAGAAAGGTGGAGAAACACGTGCTCCATTAGGAGTGGCAAGCATTGCTTCATAGGTCACGTAGTTAGCGTTCCCTTTGGATCATTTCTCCAGATCATGCATGTGTGTTTGGAAACGAACAGACACATACTGCCTGGTTCGGTATTACTGGGTGGTGAATCGATTGATGGCGGACTAGATTGTGGTCGAATCCATTTAGTAGAGAAAGCACTGTTAGACAGATCATCAGGGTCTGGATAGAATGAAGCAACAGAGTGGCATCTGCCCAGCGACCTTCCGTCTGAGGAAAAGCAAAACAGACGTTCAAACTGCGAACAGTACAATCGGAGCAGGAAATCTGGCTGCTGAAGATAGGGACAGAGTGCTGATGTGAGTGCCCTGAATGCCATGAAGTCAGTACTTAACTGACCTCTAGTTAACCTAACATTTAGTCGTTAGTCGAGATTGCAACATCAGTGCAGACAGATCGCCCTATATCCGTTCCGTTCCTGTGTCAGTGTCAGCAAAATCGTAAAGCTTCTACACGCAGAGTCAAAAGTGATAAGGCAACTGTCAGATGTGCCGTCACTAGCAGTCCCACATCAGAATTACAGCTACCTGTTGGCAGAAAAAGTGACCTGCATTATTGTACCCCTAGAAAAACACGCCATTCTGAACATAATCGGAATCCCGCCATTGAATGCAGTCAACAATACGACAAGGAAAAACAATTTCATCTATAATATACTGCACACAGTGTTGCACCAAACACTCAAACCAGTAGCTGAGCAATGGAACCGTTGTACTCCTAGTCTAGAAATTACACACTGCAAAAGCAAAAACTAGCTGGGAACAAATAACTTTACAGAGCGTCAGCGATCAGCCGGGCATCGGCCATTTCGGCAGGGATTCAATTAACATCTATTTTCTTTTATATTGAAGATAACAGCTGCTTCCACAGCACTCGCACAAGTAGCAGAATCAGAAACCACGCACTCAGTGATCATATGATACTGCACAAATATGCTTCATAAAATCACAACAGGCAGCCTCCCCTTTGAATGGGTAGACAGCATTAGAAAGATACACTTAACCTCGCTCACCTGGATATACACACATAGACAGGTGAATAAAAGCGAATCCCACACGCTAACACGATTGCGTGGTGTCTAAGTGAAATCTGGTGAAGCACGTGGGTGCCCCCTTGAAGATCAATATTAGAGAAATTACAACCAATTTCTAATGGGAGTAATCGACAGAGATGTCTTAACCTTGACCTGACTGCTGCACCGGAAGACTGTACACATGTGTGAATGCCTTATGCTCAGTGAGGTCGCTTGCGATAACACATACTAACATAATGCTATGATATCCAAAAGTTACTTACTGGTTACTTGTTATCCATACCCACATCCCAGCACATCGGTCAGAACCATTGGTGCTCCGCCCTGTGATGCAGCAGCCATCTCAGTGTCTTTATCCTCAGTGTTTCCAGTAGGAGCTGATTGTCATATCTTCCTTCTCTGCCCCGAAACAAGTTTGTCTTCGTTTAACACCCATTTCCAACAGGCGGTTCCGTGTCTCTGGCCAGCTCTTTTCAAAGTCTCTAGAACGCGGCGCATTCAGTTGTGTATCTGCCCTGTACATACTTCTTGCTTCATCAACCACAGCAATTCTTCCGGCTCTTTCATTTCCTTTCAGTGACAGTTGGAGAATCACTTAGGACATAGATGGAAAGTCAAATGCAGACGTAATCAAAGTCCTGGGGAAGCTGAAGAAAATGAAATGGGGTAAATCCAAAGGAGATTTAAGAAATAAAAGAAATGTCTGGGCAACCATTAGCATCAACCATTATAAGATATACAAGATGGCGCTTTACTAGACACATTCTGAGACGAAACGAGCAGAGAATCACCAAACAGGCACTGAAATGAGAAATATAGTGATTAAAGATCCCGAAAGAAACCATAAAAGGAAAGCCTATGATAGAAGCCTAAGGTTTGTAACTAGACTTCATCCATGATATTGAACTCACTGCACAGGACATAACGGAAGACTGCGAGCCATATTTGACATACAATCGCACCACAGGACAATGAAGAAACCTCACCAGATAAAGCTCAGCATTGGGTCTAATAAATATGTAAGACCTAAACCAGGTGGCAACGAACCACCAGACGCAGAGAGCTATGACCTCGGCCATATGCGCCGCCATAGGCTCAATGAAAATGATTGACTGACTAACTAACAAACTAACTAACTAACTAACCAACTAACTAACTAACTAACTAACTAACTAACTAACTAACTAACTAACTAACTAACTAACTAACTAACTGACTGACTGACTGACTGACTGACTGACTGACTGACTGACTGACTGACTGACTGACTGACTGACTGACTAACTGACTGACTGACTGACTGACTGACTGACTGACTGACTGACTGACTGACTGACTGACTGACTGACTGACTGACTGACTGACTGACTAACTAACTGATTAACAGGACAATGAATGAATGGATGTAACGTCAGAAAAATATACTTACTTTGTTTCGTTTTTAAATTCTTCGATTGTTTTTAAAATGTTCCGGAAGTTCACTCATGCTTTTGCGTCAACAACAAAGGAATCACCGGAAAGAGATCCCTTCTGTTCCATCCAACGATAACATTTCAAAGAGCAGAAACTGTCGCAAATTTATAATGGGCTAACATCATATTTTTTGAGGAACTTTGCCTTTCAGGTATTCGGCGTGGAATTGTATCTGTCATGGCGTATCTGTTTGTTTGGTTGTTGTTGCGTACCTCGTGAGAAAAGGAAGTTAATTATGCAACAAGTTTTCGTCCATAAAAGCTCTTGGATCCCATCTTCAGTATCTCCATCAGCGTGTGGCGACAGAAAACACCCGTTCTGTGTTCGTTTTTTTTTTCTTTGGCTACCTGTAGTGTCGATGTCTGGGAAAAAAAAGTCTTTTCACCTGAAGTTACTGTAGCCTTTTTGTTGTTGCGATTCATCGTCGTCTCCTGAATCATCTCCTCGTCCTGTCTCATTGAGAGCACGAAGAACCTCAGCCGGGTCCACAACAACATTTAACAAAAATGGTGGAGGGTATTGGGGGTCTGGGCAGGGGAAGAGAACGAACGAAAAGAGGAATTGTATATTTCAGTGGTTACATATGGGTCACTGAGGCCTGTGCTGCAGAATCAGAAGTTCAACAAATGCTTCATGGCAATTCCCGTCCAGATAATGTGATTGTCTATACAGGTAGCTCTGTGTTGAGAAGTTGACAAAGTACATAGGGGTTCATAGTAACAGTGAATGGACGTCACCTCGTGCAACCAAGCCTGGTATATGATATCCCAACGTCTTGTTTGAGAATGGACGTCACAATGCAACAAAAGCCTGGTATATGATATCCCAACGTCTTGTTTGAGAATGGACGTCACCTCGTGCAACCAAGCCTGGTATATGATATCCCAACGTCTGGTTTGAGAATGGACGTCACCTCGTGCAACCAAGCCTGATAAATGATATCCCAACGTCTGGTTTGAGAATGGACGTCACCTCGTGCAACCAAGCCTGGTATATGATATCCCAACGTCTGGTTTGAGAATGGAGATGGTGGCAGTGACTGCTTTCTTCCTCCGGCTTGTAAATCGGCCGCACACAGAAGCCATAATTGTAACTGACTCACAGAGCATGCTGAGAAAGGTGGAGACAGTCATGTTCTGTGCAGAGAGACTAGCATCGCTTCAGAGGTTCCTTAGCGTCATTTTAATATGTTCTCCAGATGCCAGGAAAGGAGCAGGCAGATAGACTGGCCGGTTCTGAACCACTTGGTGGTGAATGAATGTATCACAAGGTGGGTGTTGTGAGGTTTTTGGGAAGCCAGTAAACAATGAGAAGGCACAAATAGATTATTACGGTCAGACGAGATTGGCACTGGAAGGAGTTACCAGCGGATCTGGCTGACGCTTAACACTTAAAATAAAGGAGAGACGGATATACAATCAGACAGTTACTGGTGCTATCTGAACTGGAGCTCTTCGCTTGCTGCTGAAGATTTGGACGGAGCGCTTATGGGAGTGTCCTGAGTGTTGTGTTGTCGATTCTTAATTCAACATTCACGCAGGCCTGTCTCAAAATCTGCTGTGTTTTCCTTACTCCTTACATCGATTATTCCATCGATACATCAAGTAGCATAACAATAATACACATCATCATCATCATTAATTCTAAGTGACAATTGTTGAGACTGGCTCCCTTTGGTTTTAAACCTAAATTCCGCATAGTAATAATACTTACTATAGTAAGTGTAATAAATCGTAAGGACGGATGGGACCATGGGGCGTGTGCTTAGGGGTAGGAACAGAATGTATTTATAAATAGTCTCTTTCAAGAGGACATGTATTTCGTGCTAACATATTATTTAAAGTTTCCTGCTGTTTGTATAGGGATTATTGCTTTACAGTGGAACCTCCATTAACGAGCATGATTCGTTCCAGAATCATACTCGTTAAGCGAAACACTCGTTATGCGAAACCATTTTTCTCATATAAATTAATGTAAAATACGATAATGCATTCCATGTCAAAAAAAAAATCCTCACAAAATGCTATGTATAAAGTTTATTCAAAGAAAATTATTTCCATATTGTT